TTTACGTATCGTGCGATCACTGCAGTCTGCTTTGTGTTCCTTTTTTTTGGTCAGGCGGCACTGAGTTGGTCTCTCGCGCGGCACTGGGACAGCAGTGTTCTCAGGGAGGATTTGCTTTCCCTTCAGTGTCCATACGCTGTCGGTTGCTGGCACTGCACTTCCTTTTGCGCCTAGTGCAAGGGGAGGAATCTCCCGCACGAACGCTTGCATATTACTTTCTGGGTACTCACCTTCGGCATTTGATGCCTAATGTGCAACTTAACAGGGGGCGCAGTCAACAACACTTCCTGCGTTTTATGCAACAACTGTTGCATTTTTTCGCCATGTCAAGTCGAGCTGTCCTGGCACAGACGTTTTGAACAACCACATAGTTGAGACAACTGCTGCTTTGTTGCTTCCGTTGGTCCCGCCAGCCCGCCGTGCTCGCTCTAGACGGGTGTCTTGGAGCACCTTAACGGCTTCTTTTCTGCCTGGACACCTCCGAGACTTCATGTGGCGCCTGGGATGGGGTGTGCTTCCCACTCTGGACCGCCTCGAAAGGTGGATAATAGTCCAGTCAGCAACATGACCGAACTGCTCCCTTCGGGAAACAAATCAGCGTTTTCTGAGCCATTGTGTCATTGCTCACGTTTTTTGCAGAGCCGTACATGTCGGATTTCACTGCCTCAGAGTAAATCGCTTCGTTTCTTCCGGGCGTTGTTCGCGAGGCCGCTTCGCTTGTCTTCTCATTGTTGCCGGCTCTTTCTGCCTCTGGCGCAACCGCTGCGAGGCGGTTGAAGCGGGCCGCCGCCGCCGCGCGCTTTACCCGATCCTAGAACTATTGCACTTGGAGCTGCTGTCTGTTTTGTTGGAGGAGCTCTTCTTCCTCGGTGAAGAGGAATTTCTTCGGCCCTGGTCTTGCCCTTTTGTGTCGGTCTATGACGGACGAGTGAAACTTGTCTTTCGGCCGGTCTGGTATTGGTAGGCTGATCTCTCGATGCACCGGCAGAAATGGCATGCCAACATGTAAATATGCAAAATGTACATATTTATGTTTTATTTGTGTCTCTTGTTTACCTTGAAGTATTTTTTGTGGTTGTGTTTGTGTGAACCATCGAATGTACATGTTCTTTCAACGTCATCTCATATCTATGTTTATGTAAATGACGTCTGTTTTGTCATCATCGTTAGAGTATGTCTTAGAAGGAAATGTTCTGTTGAGTGTTATTGACGTTCGTGGCAATAAATTTTTTCTAAAGAAATAATTCGTAGCGCCGGAGTGGTTTGCCTCTCCATTGGCGAAGTGTGCCAGTGAAAAATTAGTGCTAGGGTCTGTCCACGCATGACATGCTCGCCTCGCTCCTCAGCGCATCTAGATAGGTGCTGTCTAGCTCCGAAAGGAGGAGTTAGATGCGTTTTATAGCGTTTCGAAGGGGGGCTGTGAGTACGCGGTCTCAAAAGCTGTTCTGTACACGCGTGTTCACGTGGTGTAGCTTAAGCACGCGAGTTTCATTGGGCACCGGCACCATTCAAAGCGAAGTGATTAACTGGTTCATTAGTCGCAGAATGTGATGGTCTGGTCGCACCTTCCGTAACACTCTAGTGAAAATCAGAAACCGGCGTATACTTCACCATTACATTTCAATGAACTATATCAGAGCTGCAAGCATCGAACGAGTCATTCGAAGGTCGCAGGTTTGGTCGCTGCTGGTGGCGAGTTATCTTTTCGCTCACTTTTCTTTTTTCGCATTTACACTACAATTACTTCTAATAACATCCCCTATACTTCTCTTGGCATCATTGTTAATCCTTACCAGTAGGAGTGATTCTAGAGTCTCGAAGCTACTTCAAAAAATTAGTGTAATTAACAAGAGAAAACACGGACACCAGATGGAAGTTTTACAAAAGTGTGCTGACGTGTATTACTAATCAATTGAGCGCACTTACCTATGATGAAAAGTAAAGTGTTGCGAACATTACTGGATTACCTAATATTAGGACTCAGTGATAAGACCGGCTACGTTAAATAAAGACCAACTAGAAAGTCACATCTGTTTATTGTACCGTAGTATTTTTTTAACTGAACTTCATAATGGTCGCACAAGAAGGATTACGCGCGCATTTACAGATTCCACTGTAGTTCATTCCATGACGGTTAGAAGGGCAAGAGTGGGGGCTAGTTGGTTGAACATTGTTGAGACTCACACCGCGCTGGAATTAAACACACAAATAAAAGACACACTGAAGCACAGGTAGGACACACACGAGCGCGAACTAACAACTGTTTATTCGATGGAAATGTGACACACACATATATAGGTTGAAAGGAGAGAAAAAGAAGAAAAAGAAAGAGCGTGAACATGCGCACTGCCCACCAAGATAAAGCGCCCATCAGTGCTAATCAAATCCAGCCTTGTCAACTATCTAAAATGTCTACGTAAAAAAGTATATTCATTGTTTGACAAATGAATAGATGGCACACTAACACATTTGTCCTCACCAAACCTGCGCATCATGAAAGCTTCAATGATTTCTCTTTCCCTTTTGTCTTCTGATCTGGATAAAACAATGGTACGTTGGGTAAGAAATTGGTACGTTGGGCAAACTGGTAGGTGCCTTAACTCACGTTTACGCGAGCATGATTATAACTGCAAGCAAATCAGTCACCCCAGTAACTTAGCTACCCATTGCATGAAGTGTCATTGTAAGCCGAACTTTGAAAAGACCATTGTTTTATCCAGATCAGAAGACAAAAGGGAAAGAGAAATCATTGAAGCTTTCATGATGCGCAGGTTTGGTGAGGACAAATGTGTTAGTGTGCCATCTATTCATTTGTCAAACAATGAATATACTTTTTTACGTAGACATTTTAGATAGTTGACAAGGCTGGATTTGATTAGCACTGATGGGCGCTTTATCTTGGTGGGCAGTGCGCATGTTCACGCTCTTTCTTTTTCTTCTTTTTCTCTCCTTTCAACCTATATATGTGTGTGTCACATTTCCATCGAATAAACAGTTGTTAGTTCGCGCTCGTGTGTGTCCTACCTGTGCTTCAGTGTGTCTTTTATTTGTGTGTTTAATTCCAGCGCGGTGTGAGTCTCAACAATCATTCCATGAATTACAGATTCCATAATCTAGCCTTGAGGTCCCTATCAGAGGATAAATTGCGATGTATGTAGCCTATCACGCATTCGGTTAGCACTAATAACTATGATACTATCGTGAAGAGTCCAATTTAAGGCTCACGTAATGTTGGCACCTAGGTAGCTAGTAGCTGATTCTGAAAAAAAAGACTTGGAAAACCGCAAGGAGAGGTGGTGACCTTTGAGTTACGCATGCCACTCTACTTTCACAAGTTTTGTTACCGCCCCCTTCAAACGTGCAAATGCTGCGTTGCGCAACCCCGCCTATTGTGTGAGAACCATCGAGGTAGACGTAGACCATTCCGATGCGATTACGCACACAGCAAAAACACTACAGATTCATCTGAAACTAGAGATAACGCTACAATATTGGACGGCACGCGTATAAATGCCGACACGCGTCACCGCTTGTCAATTGATCAACGGCCGACGCTCTGTTCGCTGTTATCAGTGCCAGTGTGTAGCCGTAGTCTGACCGCCAGTTTCCCGGCCACAAGTTCGGCCACATAAAGAGTTTCTTTCGCACGCCAATTGTTGCCTTCGCCGGCGTCACGACCACGTGACACACATATATCTTTGTAAGTTTATTATCTGTAATTCAGTTTCATAAGTTCTAGTTTCATTAATGGCCGGTGTTTAGAAACCCTTCAGATTTTTGGGGGGAGGTGTCTGGCCATGAGACATGTGACCGTGCCATTGGCCGAAGCGTTCTTCATGTTATACCTTGTCATTAAACACTATCGCTATTTTCTTGAAAAGACGTCGTTTCAGCTTGTTCACCACCCATAAACCACTTACCTTTGTCCCTAACTCTGGGGGGATAAACTAAAAATAAGCCAACGAAGACCAATTAGCACATGATGAATTTTAGAGTAGATTTACTTGACTGAATTGAGAGCACAAAATGTACGCCACCAACGGACGAACAGCTTGCATCGTAACAGCTCGATGGCAAGGAACAGCAGCGATTACATACAACATCCACGGGTTTGCATTTAGATCTTCTTCCACCTGGCGCTGTCATAGCCATGGTGAGCGACATGCCAACCGGCTCTCCAAGACCTTTTAACGTGATAGCGTTAAACAGCTCGTTTCGCAGAAATTTCGACGTTGGCGTTAATATCGTTGGTTGCGAGCGAAAAATCATCATCTTATGCGTGACCTAAAAATAGAGAACGACGAAAATATTGATTTGATGGAAAATCCTGCAGCAGAGTTGGGACAGCACAAGTATTGTTTGGGCTCAAGTGGGGATCTAGTCCTAATTTTTTGCGTAGCAAGCGGATGTTCTACCACAAGGCCACACCTCTCCTTCTAAGAACAACAAACAGAACTTACTCTGCTTGCAAATGCAGTGAAACTAACTTCCATGCACAAACACACGAGTCCTGTATACATGCTTCCCAATGCAATATGAAATATTGTAGTAATAATACCTGGTACAAGCGTCCATTGCGAACGAGCGTCAGAATAAGTGATTACTATAATGGATTCGTGGTTGAAAGCAGGTACCCCGCTACAAAAGGCACACACGCTACTGCACCTACTCCCTTATGGCCACGTAATGTATGCATAGTAAATTTGAAGAGGTTTCATGCACTAAGTGTTTGAAGTACGCACTAGGAACAAGATGACGCTGTCGCGTTCAGCTCCTGAAGGCGAAGATTTAGGGTACCCTAATTTTTTGTACCACTATCACCACTACGAAAGATAGTTGTAGCGTTTTCATTCTTTTTCCCACGTCAGCATAAAAGCCACACAAAAAGTCGTCTATGAACACTGTATGTGCGACCTGCAGTGAACTTTGACTTTCAAAATTGGGCACACGCATGTTTCTCTTCTCAGCTGAGCAAAAAAAAAAAAATCTGGCAGATTTTATGCACTGTGGAGATCATGTTTTAATCGTAACATTCAGCCAGTGGTAACCTATGCTGGATTTCTTGCTTTGCACCAAGCACTGCGAAGTAGTATAGACGCGTTTCCGTAAATGAACATTCGCGCGCATGCCGTGGTCTTACGAGACACACTGGCGTTTGAAGGGTACCTCGTGCTCTGACCTAACGTTGGCACTCAACTTAGAGCAAAGTTGTCAGTTTTATCGCAAGAAGCGGTCATCAGCGGTCATTGTACTTTACACCCGCCTTAAGCATCGCGTAATCAGAGCACCAGAATGAGCAACCCCTGCATACCAAGCATGAAAGCACGAGTTTCAAAACACACGTAAACGCTCCCAAGATTTTTTTTTTTTGCTTTTCATAAATTAAGGCTCTTAGCAAATTCCGTTGGTGTGACGCCGGTGTACTCGTGAATTAAAGCAGTATGGCGCCTAAGGTAGCCAGGGTGTAGATTTCCCACATTCGAACACCCTGCATGCAATGAAAATTAGGATATTAGTCCAAAAGCTTCGCAAGTTTGAGAACATTTTAGCATTGTGAGTACAACTAGGAAGTACGCAACACAAAAAACAGTCAAATTAACCACCGGGATTTTTTGGCTCGAACGCAGCAAGCTCGCCTTGTCCATTGCCTTATGAAGTAAACACAGAATATGTAGCTATAGCGTTTTGCTGCTCATTCTAATATAGATCCTGCGCAAAGACTCCTGTTTATACTCGCTACGCCGCTTTGCACTTTCAAGAGGTTTTACAGAGTGTATAACAACCTCACATATCACATAAAAGGGAACTTGCGATTATAAAATAAACCAAGATAAAAAGATTTTTTACTAGTCTACCCATTCTGCGCACTTCAATGCGAAAGCTACTACATTTAAGGAACATACAGTTACATCAGCATCGAAGGACAGAAGATCGCAGGTACAGACGCAACCACATACATACATAAAAACACAGCAAATTCAAACACCCCATTGGCAGTCGCCTGGCGCTACACTGGGATATACCGACCAACTAGTATACACAGCACTCATATCTTGGTCTGCCTTTACGTTTTTGGCCTGCTTTTCAGAATATTTACGTTCTGCGTGATGAAACATTGAGCATTGACATAATAAGCTTAAATTCAGGATCGGCTTGTCAGTAGCCCGAATTCACCGAGATCTGTTTATGTAATACCACTTAATATTCAACAGGTTTAGCAAATTTCAGTCATCAGATTTTAATATGAGCCCCGGTTTTTGTTTAATCATGGTTGCGAAACCTAAGCACAGCATAAAAGTTAAAACGTTACGCTGATTAAAAAGACCGCAAATTATTAGAAGGAAGGCTGAAGACGCACTACTTTTTCTTAGTGTATCTGCCTGTTGGATGGAAACAGCGCGAAAACGAGAGACCGTGCAAAGTGAGACACATGCAACAGAGCTGTTGTATGTGTTGTTCTTAGCGTGGTCTCTCGTGTGTTGCGCCGTTTCTCTCTAATGTGTCGTAACAACATTCCCAAGCAACGCTTCCTTTATTTCTTCCAATGCCAGTGCAAACGCGCGCTCCTCAACGGGAGCCGTCGGTACGCCTTAGTCCCCTAAAGAAATATACTATATAAAGAGCGGCCACTGGGGCCTTTCCGTGGCTCATCAAGAAAGGGTATGACCAACCGTTAAATGGCGTACCCATGCTCGCGTTTACTTTTTTGTTAATAAATCTAACAGCCTCCTCAGGAGGACAATGAATACCCACGTTTGACAATAATTTTTTGCAAATAAGAAATTTTAATAACTTGTGCACTTTTTTTATATCCGCTCTACATCATGTTCCGCTTAGGACATTTAACTCCTTACAACAGAATACAGTGAAGTATAAATAGAAAGTGTCTTTCTGCATTTGTTTTGCACAAAGAGGCACATTCATGTGGTTTAGATGTACTGTACATGTATTTCCTTGGTGGACGCATGGGTGTGTAGCCTAGTGGTAAAGACACTCTCCATCGGAGCATAGAGGTACAGGTTCAAATCCCAGCGTGTGGACAAAAAAAAATTGGGTATTTTATTTATGCGTAAGACATTACCGGGTCTGCCCAACTACCCGTGGCGCTGAAAGCAGCGCAGTAACTAGGCCGCAGGGTTCTAAGGGAGTGTCCGCCCTTAATGTAAGTATGTTTCTCTGTCCAGAGAGTGGTCGCCATGCGATGCTGTGTGATGGATAGCGCTGCTTGCGTCACACGTGCTTCCAAGCGCTTTCCCTCAGAGATGCGACAGACATGTTTCCCTCTCCAATATCATAGGTCTGTCAGATTGGTTCCTTCATGCTCCTTTTTTGTGGCTCGAAGCAATGGCGCCCCCACCACACAGTGCATGCAGTGGCGTTGAAGTAACGCTTCCCCATTCGTTGCCCACATAGAGCCACAAACATTGGCAATATATATCTCAAAACACTTTAACTTCTACAGAGCCAGCGAGACCGCTAATATTTAAAAAAGAAGAGTGTAAGACGCCACCCCGTGGATCTGTACACAACTGAACAAAAAATCGCTTCATATGACTTTCATCGTGAGGCACTGCATGCGGTGTTCTCTCCCCCATTACCGCAAAGCACACGCAAAGGCTAGGCAATGAGCGAGAGCAGGAAATGAATGAAGGAGAGGGTGGTTAACAGCTGAATCGGGCGCATCTGGCTGGCATTGATAAAATAGAGGAGGCCTTTGCCCAAGCAACCACTTTAGCTGTATCTGCCTAATCACGTAGATTAAAGAGCACTACATAAAACGTTTATACGCATTGCCTGAAGTGTAATAGTATTGTTAAAAAAATATTACTCTCTGTGTGATGTCTTTCTGCGGAACAGGGAATTCGATAGGGAGTATGCGGGCCACGGCTGTCGTTTCAATTTGGCAAGTCACAACATCGATGACATCGAACTATAATGCTTCATTTATTTTTACACTAATCGGCTCACCCATATTCGCATGTGATCGCAGCTAAATGTCGTACAGTTCCTCAAAATGTTGTAATATTTTCTGACCAAAACATCTGACGTTTAATTTGCCATGAAAATGCAACAACAAAAAAAAAACAATCACCTAGCAATGCGAGGCAGTTGTCGAGCTCTCTGCGGATGCACTCGAGGACTTCGGTGACTCCCTGCTGGCCCTGTACAGCAAACACGTCCATGCGTTTATTGTGACAGCTGTTCAAATGACACACTTCGATGGCAATCTAGGAAACACAGTTGTCGCAAATATACTTAATCTGTCGCCTTCAAAATATCAGGGACGTATGTTCCTTGGTCACTATACATAAAAACGCGACCGGCAAGCTTCTGAGTACTTCGAGAACGTGTGTAACGCTTATTTAATCACGCGATAATATAATTTTACTTCGTTACCCATCTGGCCAAGAGGAAGGGCAAATTTCGGTCGATGCTAAAACTATAAATTGCCCTGATCTCTTTCTAACTAGAAATGGCGGAAACAAAAGAGCCGGTACCTGGAAGTGGTTCCGCGGCACTTTTTCTTTATGGTCAGAAAAAACCGCCATCGGTAGACGAGGCACTCGAGAACACACGAACCAAGCATTTTAAAGTGACACCCCACTTATAATTTACCTTTAATCCTTCAAATCCGCCAAAAATCTCTTCCTCCTCTCTCTACAAACGATGTCATATAGTCAGCTGGCCACGCCTTATACACCCAAATTCACGGTCATTGACTGATTTGAGCCTTGCGGGCTTCATAATTAGCCCGACTGTTGCTTGAGGCCGCCACGTGCGCGGCCGCTAGCGCTCTTGATCATTTTTAGGGTAAAGCCAGCTAAGGTTGCATGGCGGTCTTGTTGGTTATTCATATTGTTCGAGGTATAGCGCATCCAGGACGGGACAGAGAAGAAGACACAGAACACATACACGGCGCTAACTTTTAACAATGCGGTTTACTCCGAGAAACAGCAATACTTATACCCAAACATGGCGCGTCACAACCTGCTAGAACCAGAAAATTGTGACCTACTGCAACTCATGCGACATCCAAATAATGCAATTTTTTCAATGATAATGATACCGATGGCTTGCTTATATATGCGTACCCAAACTTAGCAATGAATTTCGCTTCTGTAATGAGCCTTGTCATTTGGTTAGTGCTTCTTCCGATTATGCTGGTGCGATTAAAGAGGGGTTAGAACGTGGTTGTTCTAGCACGTGGTTGTGACGCCCCACGTTTGGGTATAAGTATTGCTGTTCCTCAGTTTAAACCGCATTGTTGAAAGTCAGCGCCGTGTATGTGTTTTGTGTCTTGTTCTCTGTCCCGTCCTGGATGCGCTATACCTCGAGTAAAGCCAGAGTTCGTAGAAAAACAAAAGGTCGTTAAGGTCATAGAGCGCGCGACGTTTGTTTTCTGTAATTCCGCTCGCATTTTACGGATTCTGAAAATGTTTGTCGCATTTGATTTGTGAGGCAATGGACTCCTTTAGTGAAGTCATTTATTGACTACGTAGAAAGGTATTGCAGTATCCCTTTAATAAGAAGTTGTTGCTGTGCGATTTGATGCATACTTGATATCTTCATTTTAGCGCAAAAAAAAAGGCAAGTTCATCAGAGATATTCTTAAGTAAGTCAACCTTACTATGTCCTATATGGCAATATCGCTCCCACCTATTCCAGACTTAGTCATTTCTGAGAATGGCATTTTAAACTTACTGCTGAATCTGGATGTTAAAAAATCAACCGGGCCAGATGGCATTCCAAATGCCTTCTTGAAGCGCTACGCAGAATGGTGTTCTCGCTATTTGTTTATTTTGTATACCCATTCGTTGAATGAGGGCCAACTGCCAGATGACTGGAAGATCGCCAAAATTAAGCCTTTACACAAAGCGGGAGACAAGTCATCTATTCCGAATTACCGACCGATTTCCCTTATATCAACGTCATGTAAAATTCTAGAACACATTATTCATAAACATATAATTACCTTCCTTAATTTTCATAAAGTATTAACAAATGTTCAACATGGGTTCAGGCGGGGCTTTTCAACGAATACTCAATTAGTGGAAATTGCGCATGACTTTGCTCAAGCAATTAACGAAGGGAAGCAGACGGATGCCATATTTATGGATTTTCAAAAAGCCTTCGATAAAGTTTCGCATGCTAAATTACTTCACAAATTAACTTGTATTCTACAAAACAAAAAGATTCTTGACTGGATAACAGCATATCTAACAAACAGGCGTCAATTTGTTACGGTAAAAAATACATCTTCTAAACACGCTCCTGTAAACTCAGGCGTTCCTCAAGGATCCGTCTTTGGGCCGGTTTTTTTTTTCTGTTATATATAAATGATATCGTCACTGACCTTTCTGTTCAAATTAGGTTGTACGCCGACGACTGTGTCTTATATGAAAAGATCACCTCAGTTGACGATCAAATTAAACTAAATCAGAACTTTCTAAAAGTAGTTTCGTGGTGTGACAAATGGCAGATGCCTGTTAATTTCGCTAAAACAGTTTTTATGAGAATTACCCTTAAAAAAGACCCTCTTTTGTTCCAGTACTCCACCAACAATACAATTCTGTCAGAAGTAACTCAATACAAGTACCTTGGTCTCTGGATTACAAAAAATCTATCCTGGTCAAAGCACATAGATTTTGTAGTAGCTAAATCTTTCCGTAAACTTTTTTTTCCTAAGGCGTTCTTTAAGATCAATCACACCAAGTATTCGTCTCCTGGCTTACAATGCCATTATCCGTCCTATACTGGAGTATACTGTGGTCATATGGGACCCGTTCACTCAGACTGATATCCAAAAACTTGAAAGGGTGCAAAAAAACGTTGTTAGGTTCATTTATAACTCGTACGGTCCTACTTCAATTACAAAACTTCTCTTGAAAAGCAAATTTCCAAACATTCCGGACCAAAATCGAATATTGCGCTTAAAATTTCTTTTCCAGTTAATAAAAGGTCACTATGCAGTTGACAAATCACATATCGTTCACTTTTCATTGGGTTACGGAACAAGACAGAGACACAATCTTACTATCTCTCCATTGATGCAACGAACAAATTGTTTCAAATATTCTTTTTTTCCGAGGACTATCGTGGATTGGAACAATCTACATAACGATGTTGTTACCCTAAATACATTGTCTGCATTTGAAGAGTCACTGCAGAAATGATTGTTATCTATGTTTGTACCTTGCTTTTTTGTTGATTCTCTTGTCTCGAAGAATCACTGCAGCTATCAGTTACATAAGTTTGTATTATATTTGTTTTTGATTGTTTGTTTGCCTGTTTCCACTGATGTTTATGTTTATGTTTTGTACCACCCCTGCTATGATCTTGTAAAAGATCGCAGTATCAATAAATAAAATAAATAAATAAATGAAAAATTCAGTTTGCCATTCAGCTTTGTAAATGGCGGCCCTTCGGTGGAGAAGGCAAAAAAGTTTATTCAAATTTTGACACTTGCTCATCATGGTAAACGGTGGTCTTCCGTAACAGAGCGACCGTTTGTACTGCTTGCCCAGCTAGGGCACGTGTTTTCATTGTCGCCGTTGTAAATCGCTGACGGATATTTCTAATTATGTCCAAAATCTTTATTGATTATGCTGATGCCCTGTGTCTTGCACATAACATGCCCTCGAGTCAGCAATAAATGGATAGTTTACACAATTCTGTTTACATTTTCGTTTTATCAATGCAACATTAGTGGAGCAAGAGCTTTCCGCCTCGGTGCATAGTTCGGGAGCGCAGATTATGAACGCAGCACTGTCGTAACATTTTAAATGCGAAGCGTCTTGCTTGGGCCTATGTCCAACGGCGTCGACGTTGGCGTCCGCACTCACACTACTCATTCGCAACTTTTTCCGTCTCTTACGTCAATAGGTAGTGGATCTTGACCTTCAAAGTAATGCCAGTGGGATATTTTTCCTGTGGGTTGTTGAACAATAAAAATGCGCAGGATGCACGTTAACTAAAAGCGAAATGCGGGTTTCTGCATCCAATCGGAGTCTTCTATCTCTCACTGCACATTAGTAGCGATTGGCATGTTACAATAGGAAACACCAGAACATCACGGCGTGCTTTGCGCCTCTGCAGGTGTTTCTCCTGCGCAACGCCCTGATAAGCGCCAGCGTCGACGTCTGCGCTACTAGCGTTAGCGCCTGTCACTTTGCATTTACACACATTTTTTTAGCGGGAGGTGCGTAATTTTAAATTTTTCTATGAAATAAGAAAACGTCGTGTACATTCTACACAAGCGCACAATTGGTCGTAATAAGCAATGTGTACTATACGCTCACCTTGTATCCCAGACCGTAGAAGACGGGCCTGCCAATGAACACTGCTTTGGCGCCAAGAGCCAGCGCCTTGACCACATCACCACCGCACCGACGCCGCCATCCATGTAGATCTCACAGCGTCCACTCACGGCGCGCACCACCTCCGGCAGCATGTCCAGCTACAATAAGACCGCCAAATATCGAACACTGGTGACGCCACGAGCACAGCTACATTGTAATATAAATCGTAATCATAAGCGTGCGCACGGTTCCTTTTCATAGGGGACACAGGTTGATCGCAATGCCCTCCCCCCCCCCCCTTTAAGTCAACGTATGGCACCGACTTAGTGACCCCTGCTGGGTGGTTGGTGCCACGCAACTGCCCCCCTCAGGTGATAATAATGCCAGTCTATATGATTAGTAAAACATTCACGTTTCAAAAAATATGCACGCGTTTTCAAAACATTCGCTGCAGCTCCAAATTTTCACTTCTTTTTATTCAGGCAATACCACAGTCGTTGGTTAGTGGCTGGCTGACTAACAGAACAAGTAGCAATGACAGAACAACAACAATGCAGGCTGAAAATGGTTACTTTGCAGTTTGACCACATGTATTGGTAAGACAGCTACATTCACTAATGGGACCGGTTCACAAAAAACAAAAAAACATGAAAACTGCGAAGCCCGTTGGCGTTTTCTCGCTCTACCTTTCATTTTCCATTGTTCTCGTTGTCGAGTTCTAATGTCAGCCGGGCTTTATTATTGCTTGGACCAATAAATCGGTACAATCAATGCTACGAAAGGAGAAAGCAAAATAGCAAATATCTCTCAAACTCTCTATCACTGAGATGGTTCAGACGAGGATGCCGTAGTGGTGGTGAAACTGAAAACTGAAACAACGCGCCAAAAATCGGACGAGATGTTTGGCTCGTCGTGCCTAATCTCGTGCTTTTCGAGAAACCCTCCCCATATGTTGCATATTTCATGGCCTACAAAACAATTCACTTGGTAGACTCGGCGTTTTCCATTTGCAAAGTTCCCGTGTAACCCCATAGTCGTCAGTATTACCTTTATCACTAGCTAAACGGCGCAAAGGGTGCGATTCCAAGGATTCCGCCCCGATCGGCTTTCACCCAAGTAGTGACGCGCGCGCGCCTCCGACCGGTACCACCTGCACGTTGTCCTGCAGGGCGTGGGTACCCGTGTAGATATCCCGTGAGTGGGGCGGTTTTACTCCCTGTACTTTCACCGCAAAGTTTGTGTTGAAGCTGCAGAGCGCACGATCACTTTGCTCACTGCAGTGGCCGTGTTTACGAAAGCAGTGAGCTGCTAGCCAGAAGAGCAAAGATGAAATGTCACGCAAAGAATGGCAAGCATCTTGGAACTTGCAACGCGCTACTGACACACAAAGAACGCAATAAAAGAACATCCACAGGACAAACACGAACTGACAACGGTTGTGCGTAGACGACACTTGCAACTTGTTGCTCAAACGTCAAGAACTGTCACATTAGTTAGTGCGCGCTAGTCCTGTGTATACAAGCACATTTGTTTCGTGCGGCCTTCCTTGTGTTTTTAGCAACGTTGATTTGATTGATATGTGGGGTTTAACGTCCCAAAACCACTATATGATTATGAGAGACGCCGTAGTGGAGGGCTTCGGAAATTTCGCCCACCTGGGGTTCTTTAACGTGCACCCAAATCTGAGCACACGGGCCTACATTTCCGCCTCCATCAGTAATGCAGCCGCCGCAGCCAGGATTCAATCCCGCAACCTGCGGGTAAGCAGCCAAGTACCTTAGCCACTAGACCACCACGGCGGGGCTGTGTTTTAGCAGCGTACTGCAAGTTTAGAGCTGTCACAGTTGTCAACTCGCGCTCGTCCTGAGTGTTACTTTCATGCATTTTTTTTTCTGCTTGAGTAGGGCGTTGCAAGTTTCGGGATGATTGCCATTCTTCGCGTTGCATTCTAACTTGTTGCTATTGTAGTCATTGCTGCGCCTTTGTAGGAAAAACAGTGCCTTATTTCCAAGCGAAGCTTTTGTGGCTTATTCCCACCTGCCACCAGCACCGGTCGCGCGACAAAGTTAATCGCAAAGTGACTGATCACAAGAGCCCGCTTTCTTCGTAAAATATTCCGCTCAATCGCTCCCTGCCTACTTTTTCAGTGGTGCTACTGCATTGGCAAACCTCTTAACCAATGAGATGTGCAGAAACAGGAGGTCAGCTTTTTTTTCACGGGCAACGCAGTACGAGCAGACGTGAAATATGTAAGACGACGGGTATAGGTTGTACACATGCGTGAACAGCGGTTCCGTAAAGCCGCTTTTTGATGGCCAGTCGCTAATAGTAACACAGTGGTATCATCAGGCGTGAACGACTTGTAACATATTTAAGTGGGGCAGCGTCGTACGCAACAAACCTCGCTCCGGTGAGGCTGCACACAAGCAGCCTTCGAAGGTGCCCCATTCAAATGCGTATTTTCGTAGATGCTGGTTTCCAATAATTGAGGCTCCAACAATCATGATATTGTCGGCGAAAGGCTATTTCCGACATGAAAATCCGATACTTCAGCAAGGTCACTTGTAGTGTCACGCTGCAAGTTTTCTCCTGGCTAAAAAAGCATGGCCATTGTTTTTGTCTGTACTGGCTGCAGCGTTGCGCTGCTAAACACGCGGATGAATCTCTTTACGAGCATGGAAGAAAGACGCAGTTAGGAGGAATGATTTCTCAATTTGAGAGAAACAGAGTCTTATGGGCACGAATTCGAAGACACACTTTACGGATACCGTACCGCTGCAGGAACGCCATCCATGTAAAGGCCACCGTGGTTGGACACGACGATTGCAGAGGCACCGTGATCGACAGCTTCTATCGCGTCTTCAGCTGCAAATTGGTGAAGCAATGCATTCAGAGGGTCACCGGCTGTGGAAGCTGTACAGACTTGTAGAGAAACCGTACCGACGTTTTGCAAACCATCGTGCCACTTGATGGCAAATTAACTAGTATTTCCTAGTTAACCAATTCCTGGCACATATCCAATTCATGAATTGTTGCCGTGAGCCTGCAAGGCATATGTCAACTTGGAATAGAATTTGGGGGAAGGGCCGATTTCTTGACAAGCGTTCAAAAGGTCAAAGCTCGCGAAACACGTGAAATACGAAGCTGACGAATGCTCACGGGCCTGAAAGCGCGATCGGGTGTATACAGACCAGCTTTCCTTAGTAGCTGCATTGCACAGAGTTTAACGCTTTGTGATTGTCGAAACATGAAAATTCGCCGCTTACGCATTGAAAAGCGTAGTGCAGTCAAGCGTAATGATAAAGACTGGGAGGCGGCGATTTACAAGCACGCAACTAGTCGCTGCGCTCTTCTATCAATTTACGCTGTCTTCTCGATCTTTTTGTAGACAGGATCCTCTGGAAAGTTAGAGCCACGCTCACTGCTGCAAGACATGCGTCAGCAAATTCCGACGCCTATCTAAAGGCCAGTTACGTCACGAAGCCCATCGAACGCCCTCATTTGCTTCATCATAAATAGAAAAGAAAGAAATAGCAGATACTTCAAGCGTGTTACCTCTGAGAATACCCTTGATGACTATGGGCAGGTTGACTTTAGCACGCAGCCAGTCGATGTCGGCCCAGCTCTGGCAGGGGTCCCACTCATGACCGGGCGTGTCACCGCGAAGACGTTGGAAGCTGCAATGAGTCATTGAATATTGTGGAGGTTGAACCCACTTGTCGACGGCCAGCCTGACTTTTATTGAATTAATTTATTCTTTAAAGGGGTCTCCCAACGCCCCTGTAGCTTACCGCCCAATCACATTTCAACTAAATTACGTTGCCTCACAAATATGCTGTCTAAAACTGTTTCCAATACATCAGGTGTATACCTGATGCATGTACAAGTTGCATTATCGCACGAGAGAAGCGCAACTCACTCATTTGCCACGTGCACATTGCAAGATAAACGCGAGGCAGCAGTGAGAAAATATTGGCTATGTGGTGCCTAAACGTTTTGTCATGGACGCGGCAAAGCAATAAGTATTTTTTTTTCATTTGTCCTTTACCATAGTGTCTACACTTCATGGCACAGCCAGGCTGTTGCGCCCATAGAGTTTCCTAAAATTAACTAGAGGGGACTCTGTCACTGCGATCGTTCAGCTACCATAGGAATGGTGGGTAGTACACACATTTGCCTAGTCTTCGTACTTGCGGGTGGCAAATCGTACTTGCGGCTTCATTTATTGCTGCGTTTCGGTTTTGTTTTGAAAGATGGATTCAACCCTTTTGAACTTCGTGAACCGATTTGGTTCGAAAGGGAAGTCTTTTTTAAAAAGTAAAGGTGGTGAGGCGCAAGCGCTGAACGTTTGCTGATTTTGTTTCGTGAGAAAACAGCTCCAAGCCACACGAACACACACGGAGCCAAAACCAGGCCAGAAGTACGAAGATTAGACAAATGCGCGTACTACCCATCATTCTCATGCTCGCCGAAGCGCCGTGCGTTGCAGCTCCCACAGACACTAGCGTTCCCTTTAGTGTATATTAGGAAACTCTATGGTTGCGCCAGCATATCATAGCTGCTATATGCGGCCACAGCATATCCACTGCGCCAGCATATAGTAGCAACCAGCAGCGACCTGCGCGATGCGGCACATATGGTGGTCATAAGACACAGTAATATAATATCGGCCCGCTTACTGCGTAGTTGGCCGCAACATCCCGTCGAATAACAAGAGATTTTCTGCTGCTGTGGGTACGTAATTTAATTTTCAAGCTGCGTGCATTGCCATAATATTTGACCCACAATTTTCAAGGGAGCCTCGACTGCCAATTCGTAATATTTTCTGACTATGCTCGAAAATCATTGCGGGGCCCATTTAAGTAGTTGCATTATGCTTGGACACCAAGAATGAGATCCACAATGCAGACGGTGTCATGTCTTTCCCAGGCCTTGTTTCTGTAAGCGGTGATGAAGATGAATACGCAACAAGCTTAAGTCCAAACTGTATATACCCTTATGTCCAAGCTTAGGTAAATATGCAGCCTTTAATACAACTCATGCGTAACAAAACTATAGGGATTCTCGCCCATACGACATATTCATTGTGCGTGGTCAGTTCAGCTATATTAGACACCTTGAGCTGGGAGTGGGCAAATATACTTTAGAATTGTTCCCGATGCAATACCTCGTGCTGCGGCAAAAAGTATTCGGAAAATAGATACCTATACGATCGCAAATATTGTATTCAGTACGATATTACCCATAATTTATCGTAACACGCTTCGATACATAGGCCTATTTGTTCTTATATAATGCGGGAAGGTAGGCTACGTTAGAGCCGGCTATCTGAACATCATGGCAGTAATGTACAGCATAAACACACAAACAAGAAAAGTCAAGAATAAAATATGGAAAAAGCTTACCAGAGGCACTACGTACATAGTATAAGTATACATTATAACACTTATGATGCATGAATGAGCACATTATGTATGGTCATAGTCCAGTTCATATATCGGGATAACATTGCGGATAGAGCCCGTACAAAATAGCGGCCACATACCGAAATTGCATAGGGGGACGCAAGCACATGACTTATGACGACAGTGACTATTATTTCCATACACAGATACACAAGGACACAGAGGAAAGAGGGAGAGAGCAAGCTGGCAACTGCCACCTGGAGGGGCACAACGCCTGCTCACTATTTCGGAGGCACTGCGCCATGTCGCCTGTAGGCAGACAGAAATAAGGTGCCTTATTCATTTTCCTCATGAACCACTAACAACAACACTATTTTGGGAGGAGGGAAGAAACAGAGGAAACAAAGATTAGAGGGGAGAAAGAGGAAAGAAGATGAGGAAGAGAAAAAAATGACGAAGAGTTCGACAAGTATGACTAAAAACACAAATAAATATCATAATAAAAAAGACCGTCTATAAACGGGTGGCTAGGTCCGTTTGGTTCATAAATGTAAGGAGAGCTCGGTGGGCCTGGTCGCGTCGGGAAGCACTACCACTCAGAAAGAGGTAGTCGTCTAGAGTCGAACACTTGAGTCCTGGGAATTTATATTCCCTAATCAGCAAAGACAGCTGCGTAGCAAATGTGGAACAGTGCACTACGAGATGCTCGAGTGTTTCGCAGGAGCCACAAGCTGCGGCCAACGGGCTGTCCACACGACCTTGACGGTGTAATCGTTCACGCACCAGCACAGAGCCCACTCTTAGTTTGTACAACAGCGCTCGGGAACTACGAGGCAAGCAGGTCATGACACAAAAAGCATAGCACAGTTGTCACGTATGTCATCGAACTCTTTCGCTAACTCACTTGCGATGCATGACGACATGCCACTTGGGGCTTGGAGGTGCCATTTTGAATTCCTACTCATTGAAAATCCGAATTGTCAACCGCCCGATACATAATAACTTTAGCTGCAAGGAGATCAACAATAACATCCTTTCTGTGAGTGAACTTGCCTCAGTGAGTCAAGAAGAGAGCTTTTAAGCGCGATAAATAGGCATCAAAACCACTCATAGTGAGAAAAAATAGATTTTCGAGACACTGGCCGGGATGGAATGGGGTTATGACTTTTAAATAAAAAAAAAACGCCAGGCCTGCACGGAAGGCGCAGCACAGTCATAGCGAAAGCTAGAAGAGCGGCCTTCCAGAGCCTTTTCTAAACACTCATTGGATAACTACTGCAAGCACGCTTGCTTGACACCCACTAGGGAATTAATAATACAGTTTTTGGGGTAGTAGGTCGGCATTCGCCATGTTATTTTTCGTCATTTTTCTGAGAAGCGTGGTATCTGCTAAACACTTGCAATGTGCCAATTGTCCATGCAGTGGCTCACGACGATGAGGAATTGTGGCTGAAGTGAATATGCGCCACAGTTAATAGGGGAACAAGAACAAGCTTTTATAATAGGCTGGAGCATTGCACGGCCCACTCGTTACGCTATTCGCATTGTGTGACGACTGGTTGTTCTTTCGCTGTTTTAAAACGTTTTATAAGTCGTATTATTGCGATTGCTTTCCCGACACCAAGCCTGCTTAAGGGAAGTTTGCCCCCAAATCCCAAGATAGACACGCCGAGCCACCACGGTCGACGAGATCTGTCTTCCGAGAAGCAGCTGCTCAAGTGCGCAGTGTTGTCGAGACTTTTGACCCCGTTCCGGAGTGGCTTCCCGTTCTTGACGCTTGTGTGTGTTTGCCTGACTTCTGGTGAAGTATGTTCTGTGTACTTTACTGGTGATAATTTCATTCATTAAAGAAAAAAAATCACCGGTGTGGCTCAGTGTACTTATTAAAGTACTTGGGCAATCTTGATTTTGTCTTTATTGCCCAAGTACTTTAATAAATACCATGAAAAAAAACCGGTGTGGCTCAGTGGTAGAATACTGGGCTGGCACCCAGAGGACTGGGGTTCGAAACCCGCTGTGCCATTGGTGTTGGGGTTTTTTTTTTTTTTGCGTGAAGTGGTTACGGACACCGGAGGTGGCGGCGGACAACTGCGCGTGACCCTAGTTGTGATCTCATAGCAGCTTTTGCTGTAAACATGAAAAGTGAGCCGAGCAACCGTCTGCATCAGAGTGCGACATCTCAGAAGTACCTCAGGAGGAAAATTAGATAAAAAGGAAGTAAAAAGTACAGATAGGGAAGCAAAGCTTGAAAGAAAAGCAAGCGATTCAGAGACGGTTAGAGAAGTCCGTGGACGGGGCCCCGAATGGTAAGTGGTCGTCAAGTAGAGGACATCCTGGAGAAGACAACCGTCGGTCACGAAATCCGCCAAGCGACTGACACTGGCCGAGACCGTCCTCGGCACTTAAGGCTTCAAAAGTGTTCTCGCGTACTTTGCGGAACACCGGTTTCCACAGATCTTGGGCAGTGCCATATATTGCATTCGTCTTTCCTTTCTCTTGTCATTATTGCTGTGCTTTTACTGGTATATATATATATATATATATATATATATATATATATATATATATATATATATATATATATATATATTATGTATTTTATATCATTTTTCACTTCCCTTACCCTTACCCTCAGCACAGGGCGTCCAGGTGGTGGGGGGGCGGGGGGTCTCAGAACTGGCTAATCTCCCCTTCTTTCCACATGTTCCTTCCTCTCCCTTAGCATGGGCTTGCAATGCGGGCGCACGACACGTGGTCTGTGTCATCTAAGGAACAGCAGATTAATTTTTGGACGCCTTAATGCGATATAGTTAGCTTCGTACGCAGAAAACTTTGTGAGTGTTATTGAGTACAATAATTTTCTCTAGTTGTGTCTTTATATGCGAAGCTGTTTAGAAGATGGTTTTTTATTGAATCGAAAAAAAGCTATCATCATTATAAACGGGTATGTGCTACCAAAATCGGGTAAATCCGACTACTCGCCGCAGGTCCACGAAAGATGAAGAAGGCTGCAGCTAGCCCAACAACAGGTGGCTGCGAAGTTACTGGGGCTGACCGAAGACCTCCAATCTGTACAACGAGAGAACACTAGGTAACGGAAAAGGTGACGGCATCTGCGAGGGGTCCCCGAAGCGATGTAAAGCCTGCTCCAACGATGATGTGTCCGTTGTCTATGAGAGATACGAACGCTTGGTTTCAGCCAAGCGTAACAACGACATATAGAATGAACCTATAGAACGAGCCAGCATCACTTGCGTTAAGCTCAGTTGAAAGAGTTAGAAGGAACTATATTAGTCTTCAAAATTGTCCAGTTTCACTGTTTCAAGCCTTTTGTGGCTAAGGGCAAGCTTCGTTAACTTTTTTTTTTTCGTGAAAGTGCGGCTCGTATTATGTACATGGGATGTGCTATACAGGCATTGAAACGAAGCTGTACAGGTTAGGAGCTAGCTGTTTCCGTATATTGTGGCAACAAATTTGAGTTGCTCTTCAATATTTGAATGAATATATGTTTATATCTCTCACACATCTCCGAAGGCTTCTGTGACCGGATCAATCACTCCGGGCGCTGCCTTGCGTCCGACAAGGGGGGCGTCAAGCGTCACGACCAGTGCCGCGAAGCCGCAACACTGGGCACGCAGAGCCTCGTCCAGAGTTATGGAGCGGTCTTTGCGGATGTCCAGCTGGGCCCAGAGGACGGCGTCGGGACCTGCTGCGGCCGCCATGTCTTCCAGTGAAGCGGAGTGCACCACGCTGACAGCCATCACTGTTCTTGCTTCTCGAGCAGCTGTCAAGTGAATATTAAAAAACGCGGTATTCACAACGAAAGCATTGCCCGCCCTGTTGTGGCCTGTATTCAGTGCTTATTTGTGAGCGTGATCACGCCACCTTAAATGGACGTATAGGCGGCGCACTTAAAAGCCCCGGATTTAAAAGTTTCTCGCCGCCATAATAACAACACATAAGAAGTAAACGAAAGAGTTCACAAATATATTTAGCAATTATTTCACCGCAATTTGTCTGTCGAAGATTTATCTTGTGGTACACCTTAACCCCAAAAACAGCAATCAATGAATACGGCTGATAAAAGAATGACAATCAAACCATTACACCACACTTACAATTCAAGTTATGGTTCATAGATGTATCCAGCTATCATTTCAACTGAGATGTCAATAAACAAGCCTCATTTGAGTCCTAAATACCCAATTGCATCGCTGCACCATGAATGATTACCCAAGTGCCTACGACAACCCGGTAAATTGAAAACATACAAATAATTTAATAATATGCTGACGAGCACAAAATGCTTTTCTGACCAGGGTTAAATAAACACGCTATCTCATACTCTGCCTGATATTATTGCAACAACGTGTCGGAAACAGAATCAGATTTTAAGGTCGTAAATATGGCACATGTCACTCTCGTCTGCGTGATGAAGCGCAAACGCCATAACGAAATATTCAGATGTTGACATCGTTGGCTTTCTTCTTTACTAGAGATAACAGTAACGAAATGCGGTAATTATTTATTTTTTATTAATTATTACGGTAATGAGTAACACGAAGGAAGCAATTTCAAGAAAAATGATTCTTTACTTTCTCGATTACTTTGCACTAAAATATCGCAAGCCTTCATCCCCTACAGCTTAAAAACTGACCTAAAAAGCAAATCAAAATAAGACACATGAATTAATGTGAGCGCCAATCTTCATGAATCAGGAGTCTTGCACGTTCGGTTTAACATCCCAAGACCACCATATGATTATGAGAGACGCCATAGTGGAGGGCTCCGGAAATTTCGACCACCTGGGGTTCTTTAACGTGCACGCAAATCTGAGCACACAGGCCTACAGAATTTCTGCATCCATCAGAAATGCAGCCACCGCAGCCGGCATTCGATCCCGCTACCTGCGGGTCAGCAGCCGAGTACTTTAGCCACTAGACCACCGCGGCGGGGGAAGTATCAGAAGTCAAACAATATTATCTGCCATCTTAATAAACGCACCTGTGTATAGAATGTACTTAAGATATGCATAAAAGGTACGTTGAAGTAACTTCAAAGCATTTTATTTGCTTTTCTAAAGTAATAAAAATGAAGTGTCATTGCACTCGTGTGGCTCTAATTTGAGATATTGTATTCTAACTATATTTCTCAAATTTACAAAGTCCATTTATCACACAATTTGATTACGTTGCCTGAGAGGTTTTGCAAACACTTCTGTTTACGATGAACAAGCCTAAAAATTCATATTAAAAAGGTATAATAACAACAAATATGAGACATGTGAAACAGGACTAGCGCTGTATTTATCTGTCTCGTCTTTGTTGTTTGCGGGCTGTTTATTTACAATAAATGTGCCCCCCATGCTCAAGTTCACACGCTTTTTAAGCCTTAGAGTTATTCTAGTAAATGGAGTGTCCTATGGGTATATCATAAATGATCCGAAAGGTCACAAGGGTATACATGCCAAGATGGAGTTTTTTTATATATTATCTCCTTGTTTCCCACGTAAACACAACGCGAGTAAGCAAGCATGCTTCTTTGTGGAAGTAACGCTACTTGTCCGAATACCTCTCGCTACGGCAAGCTCGGCGTCAGGGTGCACGATGCAGTGGGCCGCCGTCGGAGCGATCCCAACAGGCATGGACACCACCCTGCCAAGCAGCGTCGTCTGCGTGTTCCTCTGCGAGGATCCCGAGAGAACCTTTGGTAGGAAGTGCCACCTGCAAAACGCATCAGCAGATTGAGCTACCGTAAGTGTCCTACACTGATCAATCTCCAGTCCTTTCGGTATAATTGCCCGTGATTTACTATGAGTTATTTTTTGACAGCATGTGCTCCGCTGCATGGTGCAGTGAGTGATGCCGTCGTGGATACGCTGGGGGTGGAATCTTGGCTGGTCATATAGCTTGCCGTTTGTGTGATTCCTTGTTGGGTTTTGTTCCTGGGTGTTCTCGTAAACCGGACAAGGTGGGCAGATGAATTCTCATCCTTTGCCATCATATAATGCTAATTTTTCTGCTATAATAAATGGGCGTTTCACCCTTGTTTAGTACCTTAGTCCAACCTCTCCTATACGAGAAATCGAACTCCTGGTGTTGTACCAGCAGCACGGGGTCCATCGAACCATCGAAATGGGTGGGGGTAAGTCTAATTATATGGTGAAGTGCTCAATTATTCTCGCAACATCTTCCCATTCCCTTATATTTTAGCATTTTTTGCCACTGAGACATCACTGTGACTGCTTAGAGTGTGGTAGACACGACTTTATGACGCACCCGCTCCCTTCTGATATCATTCACAAACTATTCTCACGTGAATACGTTCCCGTATTTCCTTACACAGATGTTTCAAAGAAGTATTCACCCGTGCTGCAGGCTACCATCACCTCTGAAATCGGTCAAGCTCGTACTCAGAGTGACCAGCTTTGGTGCCTGTGACCAACATACAATATCTAGGGATGACACAAGCGCTCATGACAAGCGTACGGTTTCATCCCCTGTTGAAATTCTGTGTTGTAGACAACGAACCATACTTGTGTTAAGATATCTGCTCGCCCGCTACCACATACATTATTTTTTATTTGTGCTAGGTTGGGGCGATACGAACGCGGCTATAGAGCAAAGGAAAACAAGTATCCGCGGAAGGAATCTAAACTGCTTGTACATATAAATGCTACTGAAATGGTTAAAAATAGACTAGTAATTATAGCTGTGTATTGCTTCTGGAGCCCACGCTGCAAGTGCTCTTGGCAAGCTGTGACGGAGCTTTCCTGCGTGCTAACGAAGCCACAAGTACGGCAAAAAAAAAAAGTCATGAGTACCTCGCTGACGCCTGTCATACGTTCTTGTGAGGCCTGCGTTCTTAACTTCGTAGCTGGCGACTTCTAATGGCTTAACCTTTTAGTTCGAATGGCTGAAACCTTTAAAGCAGTTCTCTTTTTCTATGTAGACGTCGTGCGTGTTTGCTAGTAATATGGAAACATACTTTGATTCCAACCTAAAGGATATGATATGTGGGGTTTAACGTCCCAAAACCACTATATGATTATAAGAGACGCCATAGTGGAGGGCTCCGGAAATTTAGACCACCTGGGGTTCTTTAACGTGCACCCAAATCTGAGCACACGGGCCTACAACATTTCCGCCTCCATCGGAAATGCAGCCGCCGCAGCCGGGATTTGAACCCGCGCCCTGCGGGTCAGCAGCCGAGTACCTTAGCCACTAGACCATCGCGGCGGGGCCAACCTAAAAGGAATCGCGGCCTGTGTTGTTGTTGGAGTTTATAGTGTAAGAACCTTCGAAACTTGGTGCATCTTGTCGGACTCGAAGGGAGATTTTCAATATCTCATGTCACCCTTTTTCCATGAACCTAGTGAACAGTTAGTAGCTGAAATAAGGCATCTTCAACAACAAGCAATCGAGAAACAACACAGCATAGCGTATCAGTGGATACCAAGTCATCGCAGTATGTATGGCAACGACTGCGCTGATGAGGCTGCTAGATCTGCTCACGACGGTACTAAATACACTGCCATCCCGTTCTCAAGAACCGACGCACTTACAGACTTCGTTCGCTTGCACGTGATCTCAGACAAATACAACGGAACTCGACGATGCAGCGATGTTTTTTTTTTTTGTTCTTTATAAGATGGAATGATAACCAACAATTTGTATCGACGCAGTTTTTTTTTATCGATCGACAGAAAACTCACCCTTCGTAGTGTTTCTAGCTTCAGCAGTTCACCTAAAAAACACCAAGTTATTTTATAAGCAGTATTTTTCTATCTAAAAGGCTCTAAACGTGGATGTACGTGCCTTTACTCCAGAAGCACTGAGAACTGACAAAAATGCCGCTAGCCTTTCTTGCGATTAGCTGTCATCGTTCTGCTTTCGCGGGAGCTCTTGTAACCATGCTTAACCACCTCCATTTTGGGCCCTTCAATCATTTTTAGCATAACAAGCTGTTGCAATGAGATGACGTAACTTTATACACTTTCTCGGTATTTTTACTACGACCATCATGATTTCGACCACGATGTGTGCGCCTTGCCCAAGGTTGTCTGCGCCTGTGTCATGGGTGGCTCGTGCAGGCGTCGTTACTCTCTGGATACACGAGCCAACATAGTTTATCGAAAACGCCCTTAGGAGCATCATTTCTGAGACGAAGTGTAGGTATAGCAAAACTGTGTCGCTCCAAAATTTCATAATGACCTGTAAATTACATGCGCAGTTGCGTGAGCACGCTGAAGTTGCTCAAGACTCGCTGATGAACATGAGATCATTACGTCATGCGAAGGCAGCGCCACTTTAGTGCCTACTACTAACTACTGGCCTATGTGTACCTTTTCATGAAGTAATATCTTTTATAACATCTTTTTTGAAAAGAAATGAACAATATTTTAATATTAACAATGTCCACCACGTACAGCAATTAACTGTCACGTGACCAGACCAATGAAATCGCTTATGTCTTTCCGACCAGAGGCGTCGAAGGTGATTTTTCGCGACATTCAATGAAGAAATATGAATCCACGCCTTACGAAAAAAAGCAGGGTTGGCCTGAGTCAACACGTACAAACATCTTTCTATCAGTGACGTCTTCTCATTCTTGTTCTGGGTGGTTGTCAGTCCCCTTAAACAACTGTGACTGCCAAGAAATTTCATGCCGGTTTGACAATGCTCGTGTGCTGATTTACCAACGTCTTGTAGAGCAGCATCCCGACCAGCGTGTCGCAAGCGCATTGTTTCTTTCTGGTAATCGTGGTCGTAGACCAGCCCTGTTATACAAGCTAACAGTTGGTTCTGTGCCAGTGCACGAACGGTTATACCGTCAAGAACGTGCTGACAATCCGATATGTTCGTCATGTGGCTTCTGTGAGACACTACAGCACGTTATTTTAGAGTGTCCTACATTCGTTGTGTAGCGATCACTACTCAAAAAGGACTATGGACTGATTGGACTTAAGCGCGACTGCTTGACGACTGCTTGTTCTCAGGAAGATGTGCTTCGGGGCGTGACTAGGCTCATTGAGCCCTTTAAACTTCTTTTAAAAAACTAGGCATGGCGTTACGTTTATAGACATTTTTGATGTGACTATTTGAGTTTGCGTGTGTGTGATTTTTTTCTCACTTTACTCTTTTTTTCCTTTTTTTTTGTTGTTGCCGCCTGCCTTCATTTCCTCTATGCCCCCCCCCCCTTCCCGAAGAAGCAAGCAGGCTTTGTGCCCCTATAGGTCGCAGTTGTCAGCCTGTTCCCTCCCTATTTCCTCTTTGTATTCGTGTTTTCTATGTGCACAAACCATATGATCAAAACGTGTGTATAGATAAGCCTATTTAGACTCAACTTCCCCAAAATCAATGTGCACTGTTAAAGCTTAATTGAACAGGATTTTAATCACGGCCCCAATCAAGCCACCATGTCGGTTGTTCGCACTAAGTCCTGTCTGAAGCACTGTTCATTCACACCATCCTAACCTACCCACTCCAGCTCACATGTTCAAATACAATGCTCACAAAATAATAGGTAAACGACAAAAAAAGATAAAGATAAAAGCAGATTCAACCAGCAGTGGCCGGGCAAGCAACATCCAGCGACACTTCTCGTTCTCACCCACCTCTCGAAGGCTCTGCGATTTTCACGCACTGTCAGGCCCCGGCCATATCCCGTCTGTACGAAGGTCTGCACCACGGGCTTTAGATTGGCCATGGCCAGCTTTTCAATGTCGTCGATGTCGGCAGGTGGTGGATTGGCATCATGCGGCATCGCACAGGAAGACATGCTCTCACCGTCGGCCATGATCCCTTGTGATTCAGTTCTGTGGGAAAACAAAATCGTTGCAACGGACAAACAGCTGTTTATCTTTCTGGTCTGATAGAGCCTTGGAGAAGCCCCGTGTAGATCATGCATGTGATAGCCCCATCTCTTCTCTGATTCACGCGAGATACAAGAAGTGTTATCTATGCTAGAGTGCATCAACAACGTGCAGCGATAAACTGTAAAGTGCTGCGAAGAGCGAGGCTGCGGTTACTTTTGCCAACCTTGAGTGTTCTTTGGAAACATTTTGTCGGCGAGGTCTCCTTGAATAAGTTTGTACGTCAAGAACAAGTAACGACAACAACTCTTCAATTATGTCTATTTAGGTCCTTTTACATAGCTTTGAGTTTCATTCATTGCCGATTAGATAAAGGCATACGTTGTTCATTTGCCTGCTGGAAGTGACACTGCTGAAGCAGATCTTCTGAATGGGTAAGAGAAAACGGTAGTTAATCCACACTATGTATGCCTTAAGAGTAATGTACACAAAATGGACGTGTCACTCTTGGGATCAAAATTTAAAGTTTGTGCAAGGTTGATTACAGCATTACACTACATGTATGGAACATTATACAGCCACTGATTCTGGATGCTGAAGTATACGGTCCACATAGGAGAGGAACAAGGACCTATTAATATGAATAGGTTGCAGTTGAAACAACCTTCGGAAAGGGGCCAGCTGACCATAGTGCTGCATTTTCCCCCTAACTCATACTAAAGCACATTTCGAAGGGCTTAATAAAGGTCATCTATCCATTCAATAATGGAGTCACCGAACAGATGTTCGGCGACTCCATGAAAGGCTTCATTTTTTTTCATTAAAAAACACTTGCTCGTGGAGACTAAAAAAAGGCGTCAGAAGTTTGCAAGTGACCTGAAAGTTTCAACATTATTCAATATAGTTCAGTGCATTTTTTTTCGCGAAAGGCATATGTGCAACAATGTGCACAATGGCGTCGTGTGCAAGCAAATCTTGGCCTTTCCCGGCTGCGGCGGCTGCATTTCTGATAGAGGCGGATATGTTGTAGGCCCGTGTGCTCAGATTTGGGTGCACGTTAAAGAACCCCAGGTGGTCGAAATTTCCGGAGCCCTCCACTACGGTGTCTTTCATAATCATATGGTAGTTTTGGGACGTTAAACCCCACATATCAATCAATCAAATCTTGGCCTTTGCTAATTCACTGCTTTTCGCCACCTATGCGGCTGGTTATTGTGTGATGCCAATCATGCTTGTGTTGGGAGAAGCAAACTTCATATTTATAACTACACGTGTCGCTCGAAGAAACGTATGCATACATCTCTTGAGACATGTCTATGAATTTATTTGAGCCAAGCTCAGATTGCAGGATTAACCATATGGGACTTGGACGTTTCAGCAAACTTCGCTGCGGTAAAAAATCAACAATTTCAGCTTTCAAACCTACAGATGCAACAACACCCCTGTTGCTTATGTGAGGTGTGTGTGGGTATTGTTTGGAAACAAGAAAAAACGCCAGGTCTGTGTGGAAGGCGCAGCACAGTCACAGCAAAAGCTAGAAAAGCGGCCGTTCTGAATGGAATGGAATGGAATGGAATGGAATGAGAACACTTTATTTGAGTCCTGCAGGACGCGCTTAGCGCGTAGCGGGCGTCTCTTTTTTTTTCAAAACACTCATTGGGCAAGTACAATTGCTATACTGCAACACTATACTGCAAGCACACTTGCTTGATACCCACTAGGGCATTAATAATAATTTTTGGGGTAGTAGGCCCGCTTTCGCTATGCCATTTTTCATCATTCTTCTGAGAAGCGTGGTATCCGCTTAACGCTTGAAGGGAATTTCGTGCCAATCGTTCACGCAGTGGCTGACGACGATAAGAAATTATGGCTGAAGTGGGTATGCACCACAGTTATTAGGGGAGCAAGAACAAGCTTTTGCATAGGGTTCGGGCATCGTATGGCCCATTCATTATGCTATTCGCATTGTGCGACGACTGGTTGTTCTTTTGCTGTTTTAAAATGGTTTTTAGGTCATATTAACGCCATTGCTTTCCCGACATCAAGCCTGCCCAGAGAAAGTTTGCCAACAAGTCACAAGCACCGGCGTAGCTTAGTCAGAATTCGTTTTTTATTGTCTTCCACATTACATCCCAAAAATACGCTCCCTCCCAGCAATGCGAAAAAAATTGTGGTCAGTAGTTTCTGGCTTCCTACAAATCAGACAGTCTGGCCCCCAAGGTATAAATACATCCCGCTCTTCTAGAAATACCTTGACGAGCAAAGTGCTGGTGTGAAGACTAGAAAAGAAGGACTTTGTGGCAGCAGCCACTTGCATTATTTTAACCCTTTTTAGCACATCCTGTCCTTGACCTTCACTATATATGGCCCTGTAGATTGGAACGGGTAAAATTGTATCACAAACATCTCTGTACAGCTTTTTCCGTGACACTGAAAATAAGTACTCATTGTAAAATGTGACAGACAAAAAGCGGATACTTAAGATCACCTCCTTGGGATATCCGCGGACAGGGCCATTCATGTGATCTGTGTCCCCTACATATCCAGGTAAAGTTCTTGTGAGCCTCCGTTGGCACACCGTACGCAGGAATGAATTATTCACGTTGCGAAAAAATAAGAACCTGTTTAAGAGTTGCCTTATGAAAAGGTGTGGTAGTCCCACACCACCTTTTTTTACACGCCTAAATAAATTAGTTCGACTGCATCGTTCCCAACTTGAAGCCACCATGAATATCGCGAAGACGCGCTGGAATTTCTGCACATTGGCCCGTGAAGAATGCAACACTTGCATCACGTACCACAGTTTCCAGAGAAAGAACGAATTGCTAACCGTAGCTCTCGATTCCCCTGTGACCCGATAGGTGACTCTTCTACGACCTACTCACCCTCAACTGAATTTATCGTGCCTGTTCTTGCCAATAGTCCTCATTGTCTTTGTAGTGTTCTAGTGACAGCCCTAAGTATTTGGCAGGCGACGTCCCCCACTTCACATTGGCGAAAAATTACGGGTGTGGATGACCACTCTCCGTGCCAAAAACTCAAGGACTTTCTCCAGTTCACCCGGCTACCATTGGCATTGCTGAAACTCTTCCCTACAGTGATAACCTCTACCACACTTTCTTTGTCTGTGCAACAAACTACGACATCATCCGCATATACCAGAATTTTACCTTCTTGTGTCTGCAACCTAAAACCATGAATGCTGCTATTTTCACTTATAGCTAAGCATTACGTTTCTATATAGATAAAAAGAGCAAAAGAGGACTAAGCAGGCATCCCTGACGGACGGAACGCCTAATGCTAAGGGGGGCCCCTTAACGTATTATAAACTACTAAACGTGTCAGGGGATTCCGATATGCCAAAGCCACACCATTTCTGATTACCAAACCAACATTCACATGGTCTAGTATGGCAAGAAGCAGGACATGAGAGAAACAGTCAAACGCTTTTCGAGATCGAGCTGCAGAATCGCTACACAAACTACCCTGGCATCGCAACACTCGAGAACGCATGGCGGGCCCGTATGACAGGATTTCACTGTGATACAGATGCACGACCCGCAAGAATGTACTTTCGAGAGTGTATGGTGCAATTCGTGGAACTTACGAAAACACGGGAGTCAGTTCCTGTGTGTTTGTCGAAGGTGGAACCTCTGACAGCTCTTAAAAAATTTTGAAGCTAGTTTCTACTCAGTAGGACCACCACCACTTCTTTTCGCGACCTTTACGGCATTGTTCATGTACATAGTGTCTGGAAACAGGCAATAATGCAAAAGGCAAAAAAACGGCTTAGCTCAGTGGTAGAATACTGTCACGGGGTCGTGACGTGGCCGAATACAGGAGACTTCTTGTTGGGATTAAACTGTTTATTTGGGCGAACCTGTGCCCGGTAAACAGAAAGTCCAATTACAGCAGCAGTCTCGCACAGATAGCAGTCTCAGACTGATAGCGGCGAACGGAGCGTCGGCCTTCGATCAACAACTGACAAGCGGCGAAGCGCGTCGGCATCTATACTCCCGCTGTCGAATGTTCTGGCGCTATCGCTGGCGGCGGCGTACGTTCCAGAACAATCTGTAGCGTTCGCACAGTGGGTGTGATCTTATCGAAATGATCTACTACAGCCCGGAACCCTCTCGAAAACTGCAGGCGCGGTTTGCGCTGAGAATCGTGTGGTGTTTTGGGACGATAACAAAAACTTGGGAAATGGAACGTGGCATTGCCCCCCTCTGAAAAAGACATCGTCTCGATGCTTTAACTAAAGATGAAGGTACAATAATAATGCAAGAAGGTACAATGAGTAAATTACGATACAACAACAATACAAAAAAACACTGTTTCAGTTTGTTAACGCCCATGAAACGGCTTGAGGCGTGCGACATGGACAACTTCAGGTCGCGATCGGCGTCGTTGAGAGTTCGTGATGCCGTCGGGGAAAACCTCGTAATCAAGTGGGCCGAGACGTAGAACCACCCTGTACGGTCCGAAGTACCGTCGCAGAAGCTTTTCACTTAGTCCACGTCGGCGTATCGGCGTCCACACCCAAACACGTTCACCGGGCTGGTATTCCACGAAGCGTCGTCGAAGGTTGTAACGGTGGCTGTCGGTCGTCTGTTGATTCTTGATACGGAGCCGCGCAAGCTGTCGGGCTTCTTCGGCGCGATGAAGGTACTCGCTCACATCGAGGTTTTCTTCGTCGGTGACGTTGGGTAACATGGCATCGAGCGTCGTTGCCGGGCTCCTTCCGTAGACCAATTTGTATGGAGACATCTGCGTCGTCTCCTGCACCGCCGTGTTGTATGCGAAGGTCACATACGGAAGAATGGCATCCCACGTCTTGTGTTCGACATCGACGTACATTGACAGCATGTCGGCGATCGTCTTGTTAAGCCGCTCGGTGAGGCCGTTGGTCTGTGGGTGGTACGCTGTCGTCCGGCGGTGGTTTGTTTGGCTGTATGCCAAGATCGCTTGAGTTAAGTCGGCAGTGAATGCCGTTCCTCTGTCGG